GGAGCCTGGTCGAAAAAAGTCTTCAATTTATGTTGACGTATTCGAATAAATCGTTGTATCATTGCTTGCCGACGTTCTTCAATAATATTTAACAGTAAACTTGCATAAATATGTGGATTCTGTTTATTAAGATTTAATAATTTTTCTTTTAAATTAGTTAATGTTAAACCATAACGATGTGTAATAATTGCAAATTCATCTAATTCTACAATCATTAAATTAAATTTACATTGTATGATTGTTTTTGAACAACGTGATGCAAAATTAGCACGTTGATCTGGATCAAGAAAAGGATTGGAAAGTGTTGTTCGATTATCATCAAGTAATTGGCCTATCATTTGATCTGTTTCCGGTGGTAATCGTTTTAAATAAATACGTTGTTCGAGTATTTGTTGTTGTTCATTTGTTTTCTGTTCGTCAGCAGTTATTTGCCATAAATGTTGTGCTAATTGAATAAGTTCTTCATTAGGTTTTAATTCATAAAATTTCCTAAGTAATTGATGATCATTGCAATCTAATTGTAAAATTTCTTTTTTATATTGAAATTCGTGTTTTAATCGTTTTTGATTATGTAAAACACATTCATTAATGGCATTTGATAATAGATATCCATCGATCGGTGGCTGCCAATGTTGTACATAATTTGATAATTTTGTTTAATAGACATGTAATTCCTTGCCTATTCGTTATTTTTGTTTGGCAATTGTTGCTTGACGTTCTTGAATATAAGATTTTTTTGGTCTATACATTTGATATAGACTGTTTTGACGAGGAAAGTGCTTTGTTATTTTGGATTCCCAATTGTTGTCTTGAGAACTTATATTATAATATTCTTGCCATAATTTTTCTTGAAAATCTTTATAATACAAATTATTGGTAATTTCAGTTATTTCACGAACAAGATGAAGTTTTTCAGAAGTATTTAAAGATTCAATTAATTTGGAACCATTTTCAATACTTTCAGCTAACATCCGTTTAAATACTGGATCAGATACTTTTAAATAACGTGGTTTAAAATTTTCTAAATAATTCATTGTTGGCTCATTATTACCACTGCTAATTTCATCATTTACAAATGCTGTTGTAGTTGCTGTTGTTGATTTGGTTTTCTTAACATCTTCCTGTGTTATTGACAATTGACTAAAAGGTTTATCAAGTATCGATGGCGTTTCGATTGTTGGTGTCGTTTTGGTTTTCTTAGGACCTGTTTGTGATATTGACAATTGACTTATGAGTTTATCAAGTATTGATATTGTTTCTGTTGTTGGTGTTGGTGTTATCAAAATTCTTTTTCGTTTCGTTCCCGTTTCGATTAGTGGAGGATCATGAATATTACTTATTGGTGACTTTGTCTCCTACATAAAATATCGTCAAGAACTTTTTATCATACAATTAATTAAAACAAAAACATACCCGGTTCAAGTTGATAGTAGCTTGGTTGTTGTTTTAAGTCATGTTTTTCGACTATCTGTTTATCTTTTTCTTGTTGTACTTGAGGATGGAACTTTTCCTCAACTTACTTTGCCACCGTATCTGAATCGAAACCTTGATTATAAAGTTGTCGGCGATAACGTTGCTTTTTTCGATTACCACGACATTTCTTTTTTCTCATTTGGTTTTCTTGTCCACCTTGTTGTGTACTTTGTTGTTGAGGTATTACCACTGCTGTTGAAAATAAAAATTTACCTTCAACATGGTGATCAGTTTTATATAACGGCTACTTAGCAGTATTTTTCCAAGGAGTATTAGCACTCATAATAAATATTTGTATCTGAAAGAGAAAAAGAAACATGTTGTGAATATCTTATAACAGAAGATGTTGTCACAATAAAACAGAACTTTCCATTATCATCGATAAAATAATATTTTGATTAAAAAAAAACAAAATGAGAATATGAATAGTGGAATAAAAGGATTTTCTTCGCGAACATAAAAAAATGAATCAGTTTCATTGAAAAACCAAATTGAATTCCAACGGAAAATAACAACATTAAACAGTATAAAATATATAAAACAATACAATGAACATTACGAAAATACATGAAACAGAAAAAATATAATAAAGATGTAGATTAAATCTTAATATTTTGTTTTTTTTTCTTCACTTTCGTTTCCACTGAAACATAAAACATTTGTTCTAATAATTACTTGATTCTACTCTGAGGGGTGAAATAACCACTTCGGGAAGCCATAATGACCTTGTACACAACTATAATAATGTCCTTGAAGATTCTGTTGGACTTATTTTGATGTCAGGCTTAATCTCGAGAGAAATATTGTATAGAGTAGAATTAAACATATCGCACTAAAATAACCTCTGGTCTATGTAATGGTAGGAAGGATGTCTACCACACATGTAATACTCTCCACAAAGCACATCCACACAAAAATAGATACTAATCATCACACAAAATTAAAGAAAACAAATGTTTAATCTAACCGCTACTTGAAAATCGAGAACTAATTTTGCAGACTTTTTTTTCTTATGCGAATTCGAAGAAGGTATACCCCTCTCAAACAGCTATGAAATCGAAGAAAGATGGTTCTGAATTGTATGGAGAAAAGGCTGAGCAGAAATGGTAAATGAAATATGAACAGACCTTATATAGATGGTAGGGTAAACGCAGTTGTTAAGATCCGTAGAGCTTAGAGTAGAAGAATCGATGTTGCTGCTGTTGTGTTAATCTATAAAATGAATTCTTTGCAAGAGAGCTAGCCTATTTATAAGCCTGATGAACTACATACGACAACAAAATACGACAATAAATTATAAAAAGAGAAAAAATACGACAACAAATTATTGTATACGACAAGAACAATAATATGCGACAATAAATTATAAGAAGAAAAAAAATACGACAACAAATTATTGTATACGACACAAACAACAATATACGACACTAAATGAGAAGGAAAAAAATACGACAACAAATTATTGTATACGACAAGAACAATAATATACGACAATAAATGATAAGAAGAAAACATATCCGACAATAAACTATTATACACGACAACAAATAATCATATACCACAACAAAGTATACTATACGACAACAAACTATACTATACGACAAGAAATTACTATAAACGACAACAAATAATCATATACGACAATAAATTACTATAAACGACAAGAAATAATCATATACGACAACAAATATAGTAAACGACAACAAAGTATACTATACGACAACAAATTACTATAAACGACAACAAATAATCATATACGACAACAAACTATACTATACGACAGCAAAGTATGATAGACGACAAGAAACTGTTGCAAACGACAATTAATTTAAGAAAAATTGGTTTGTTAACTGTTTAATGTTATTTTTATTTTAACTTGAAAATCATTTTTTTTAAACGCTTGATCGCCATTTATATTCATCATTGGACTTTAAAAAGAAACAGGTGAAGAATTCAGCCTTGAATCTATACCTTCCGATTTCGTACAAATTTCACCATTTCAACTGCTAAAGTTTTCCCTTTACTTTTTTTCCAAGAATTTTGTTTTTTTTTTACTTTCGTTTTCCATATAACATTTTTCGATATTTTGAGTTTAGAATGTCTTTTTTTAAAAATACATTTGCTCTTGGTTTTAATATTATTATTACCTCGTTTTACAACTTTCAAATGTAAATAATAATTCTTAACGATTTCTATCGAAAATAGTGCGAACTATCAACTTCCAACAGATACGCCTAAAAATACTAAGTCCACGCTGTTCAGTAGCTATTTTCCGATGAGTTCACTGTTTATATTTGACCTATGTTTGTTCTCAAATGAGTTGGATATTTTTAAACAGATCTACACATTTACTAAAAAATTAGGCATTCTTGTTTGATCTCACATTTATGTACACAATACCCGGCATATCCACAACTTATAGAACTACTACAAATTTATATGATATCATCGTCCATATTCTAGCATATGAAACGAAATTCGGCATCGTTATTCAACCTTTAGGTTTGTTTGAATTTAGAAGGCACGTTCAAGTAAGTGAAAGTTATCCCCTATTTATCGGACACTTTTCAACAACATGTCGTCGATTTGAAAGAATTCGCTATTTCTAATTGATCTTGCGGTTTTCCACCTTCAATATATATAAATATATATACAGACACATACTTACGTTTGTTATCATGTCTACTATATTCTCTGATGGTTTTTATGTCTCTATTGTTAAGTAGAGTCCGTTGGGTTTTTGCACTTAAAAACCCCTAGGTTTTTCGAGATTAGGGTTTTGTGATGTTTAACCTATCTATTTCTCTTTGTTGACATCTGCACTACATTCTCTGATGGTTTTTATGTCTCTATTGTTAAGTAGAGTCCGTTGGGTTTTTGCATTTAAAAACCCCTAAGTTTCTCGAGATTAGTGTTTTGTGATGTTTAACCTATATATTTATGTTTGTGATCATCTGTTCTATATTCTCTGATGGTTTTTATGTCTGTATTGTTAAGTAGAGTCCGCTGGGTATTTGCATTTAAAAACCCCTAGGTTTTTCG